AGTGGCGCTGTGGTTCAAGTGGTAGAGCGCTAGCCTTGAGCTGAAGAGCTGAGGGACAGTGCCCAGGCCCAGAGTTCAGGCCCCACGACTGGACCCCCCCCCCAAAAAATAAAGGAAAAAGAAAAAAATGAGCTTTACAGTTTAGGTGGGGAGGGGGAAAGGGGAGGAGGAGTGTAGTTGTGGAGGTGGGAGGGAAGGGATGGTAGGGGAAAAACAAAGGAAGAGCCAACAGTGCTCCATAGGAAATATACTCATTACTTTGCTCATGTAACTGTAACCCTTCTGTACAGTATTTTCACAATAAAAATCTTCTTAAGAAAAGAGATAACAGTTTTGTCAAGGGCAGATTTTTCAAGGACAAGACTGGAGTAATCTGTGTATGGAGAGCTAAAGTATTAACCCTTTTGTGGGATAGACTATTGTTGAGCCTTCCATGGAGGGATTCAGGAGACAGGATATTATCTTCAATGTTATTCAAGTTTAAATTTCCTTAAACTTCCCTTTTCTCTTGCCTTCTCTTTCCACACCATCTTTCACACTTTTTATTTTCCTAGGGTATACATTTTAAGAGCTAGCTTAGCTTTTTTTTTTTTTTTTTTGCCAAAGGCCAGCCTCTCTACCACCTGAGCCACAGCTCCACTTTGGGCTTTTTGCGAGAAGAGTCTCACAGAATTTCCTGCCTAGACTGGTTTTGAACTCTGATTCTCAGATCTCAACCTCTTGAGTAGTTAGGATTACAGTTGTGAGTCACCAGTGCTCAGCTCATTTCTTTTTCTTTCTTTGAAAGTTTTATTATGGAAAAATTGAAATATGCACAAATCTGATGAAATATTAAGATCAATTTTCAAATGTTAACTATTCGGCTTCAACAACAAGCAACTCAGAGCCATTGTTTTCTACTAGAACCTTATCTACTTTCCCTATCCTGTACCAATAAATTATTTTGAAACAAACTCCCTGTATTATATTACTTAGCCTATAAGACTTTCAGCCTGTCTGTAAAAGAACAAGGCTCCCTTTGAGAGAGAAACATAACGATCATACATTGTTATCACATAGAAAACATGAAGAGCTATGACTCAATCATCTAGAACCCGGTGAGTGTTCAAGGTTTCCCTGACTGTCCCATACTATTGCTTTCATTGTCTCTGGACACATAAGGAACTAGATGTGTTTTACAGAAGCAATGTAAATCTGAGCAAAAATTCAAGGGTTGAACATGGCTAATTCCAAACTCTAAAATAAAAAATCCAAAACTTTTTTCATTTTCTTGACCAACATTTGAACTCAGGGTCTCGTGTTTGCTTGGCTGGCACTATCACTTGGGCCATGCCTCTAAGTCCCTTTTTTGCTGGTTAACTGGTGATGGAATTTCTTGGATTTTCTGCCTGGGCTGGTTTTGAACCCTGATCCTCCGGATCTCAGCTTTCTGAGTTACAGAGATGAGGCCCCAGTGCTTAACACAAATCTGAAACTTTATGAGCACTGACAGACTACAACAGGTGTAAAATTCCATGCCAGAAAATTGCTTCATGAACAAATTTACTTAAAATATATAAAATTATCTTCAGGCTATGGGCATGAAACATTAGAAAATTCAATCTCTCAAGGTATCTCATATCTCATTATGGATGCTTAGATATCCCCAAATCCAAAGTCAACTAAATCAGAAATTCTGATCCCAACCATTTGGGGTAAGCAATATTCAACCTGTAGGAAAACAAATTTAGAAAGAAGGAAAATCAAAGCAGTCTAGCATCAGGGAGTTCCAAAGTTCACTCTGCAGTGTAGAATTTGATGATTTTGGTCCATATCCAGTTAAACAGCACTGACAGACTCTCAAAGGCATCCAACACACAATTCTAGTAAATTAGCTTCTGTGACTAAAGTCTATACAGTACATGGAACCTAAACTCTTTTAGCACTAGGCTTCCTTATGCTTTGTTGTTCCTGAAAGGAACTAATTTTCAACTCTAGCATTATGCCAGTAGATTTGTGGAGAATTTTTTTTTTTTTTTGGTTGGTCGTGGGGCTTGAACTCTGGGCTTGGGCGCTGTCCCTCAGCTCTTCAGCTCAAGGTGAGCGCTCTAACACTTGAGCTACAGCGCCACTTCCAATTTGTGGAGAATTTATTGTTAGTTTCTTATTTGTTTTAGTAATAGTGTAATATTTGTTCTGCAAATATATATATATATATATATATATAGTGTATGTATGTGTGTGTATGTTTGTATATATATGTGCACATATGTATGCATACATAGCAACACATTATCATTTTACATTAAATTCCTAAACTATAAAACAGAGACTTAAAAGCACCAGGCATGAGTTCACCCAATTAAAAAATAAATGATGTAAATGTTTTGTATTTACATTTCTATTATATTTATTTATTTGGTGATACTGGGGTTTAAACTCTTACTAGTGTTGCTTACTGCATTGACGTTCTACCACTTGGGCCATGCTTCCATCCATGCTTTTTGCTGGCTATTTGAAGATGAAGTCTCAAGGACATTCCTGCCTAGGCTGGCCTTAAGAATTTAATCCTTGAGCAGTTTGGTGTGAGCCAACATTTGTGCTTTATTTTTTTTTTCATTTCTAGTTGTAATTTCTAAATTCAATTATTTCTGTTTCTTTTTCTTTTATGTCTGTCTGGCCCAGATAACTATGTCCAATTCATGTCTGTACACTACTGGAAATTTTAATAAAGTTCCTTGTGCTGCTTTTTTCTCCTTGCAACAGTGAAACAAGTTACTCTTGAATGAGAGTCTGTGCCCTTCCCACCCCCAAACAGGAAAAAGAACTGTCACTTGCCACTCATTTCCAGAAAGTATCTTGCATTCATGAGCATTCGTCCTTGAGGTTTCAGCTCTAGCTAAGGGAGAGAGGGAGAGAAATATCAGTCAGGATCAAGCCCTGAGCTTGATGACGTCATCACCAGCCACGGGGTGAGGGGTCAGGGAAGAAACCATTGATTCTGTCCTTCGCTTGTCATCGTCTGAGCCGTGCAGCACCCCTGACTACAGGCTTTTTGTAGGAAACCACCTCAGCAAGTTACCCACTCCCCTTAGGGAGGAAACTTTGCATAAAGTAGAGGCAAAATTCAAAGACACATGCTATTTGGTTTTCATCCTGTGTGACACTGTTTATCTGAAGAGCTCCAAGAGTGCAGATCCTGAGTTTCATCACTGACAGAAGTAAGCAGCCATCAGGACTAGCTCCCAGAGGACAAAGTAGGGCTTTTGAAATAAAGAGCAATTCTGCTTTGAGAGACCCATGACCCTCTGCTTTTCCCATTGGATGCAAACCCAGGTTAGGTAGGAGAGTAGCCTTTGCTTTCAGAGAGGCAAAAATTTCCTTGGGAATATTCCAGATGCTCTATGAAAGGGATTCTAATTAGATGGGTCTGGTAAAAGAATATATATATATATATACACACATATATTGCATATGTATACAAAGTATATATAAAATGTATACATCAGTATATATGAATATAAGTATATATGCTTATACATAAGTATATGAGTATATTAAATATATATACATATATGCATATATGCTTATATATGTGAGCATAATATATATATATAAGTTATATAGAAGGGATCAGAACAAAGTGCCATGTTAGGAGTTGATTCAGGATCTTATGTAATGTGACATATATTGGAGAACAGGACAAAGCTCAGAGGATCATTAGCATTAATATATATGTGTGTATATTTATATATCATATATATTTATGTGTCATATATACACACAGAACATTAGTGGACTAAAATGAGTAAGAAAAGAGGTGAATCAAAGGCATGATTTATCATCGCATTCATGGATTCGCTGAAATAAATGAGAACTAGCAAGAGATGTGCTTTTAAACCTAGAGTTGAATTTGAATTGCAGTTAAATAATTTCCTACCCATGTGACCTTATATAAACTGCTCAGCCTCCCAAGATGTCTGAGAAACTGACATAATAGCAATTGCATTTTAGGATTACAGTTTTATGATAAACTCTGACTGTTTGGCTACCTGTAAGTTCTCATGTAAGCTTAAATAGATCAGTGGGTAGAGAGATGTTTTCAGTATCAAGTGGAGACATCATGGCTGGCAGATTTGTGAAGCGAGCAATAGAAATGAAGGCAAAAACAGAAAGAGAAGAGGGAGGAGTTGGGGCCTGATCCTCACTACTGGTGCAATCAGTACGGTGTGAGGAAATGTGTTATCGACATTCAGGATACAGCGGTGATGCAGGAAACTAAACCAGGGGCAGTGCAGCTACTGGAAAGCGATGCTCATAGAAAGACATGTTTTTCTCTTGCTTCTGGGAGTGAAGGAGAAAGCCATGAGTTTAGTGGCGACCTGAAAAAAGCAGGAGCTCAGTCTCAATGCATTACTTACCCACAGAATAGTTGATGGAGATGAAAGGCAAGTTTGAGAGAATCCATTTATAATGGAGGAATTAATTTTTAAAAAGCAGTTTATAATAGAAGCAAGGGAAACTATTAGTTTAAGATAATCTGAGATAAAAATAAATTAAGGACCTCTCCCCCACACCCCCACCACAATTACAGCTTAAAATCAGAAAAGGAGGGTGAATTGGTTAAATAAGGATCCAAATGCCGCTTGAACACTATATGACCATCTGTAGCATCAGTTCTTTAACCTTTCCTGACTCACTTAAACAGCTGATCTAGAGGAGTCTGGATCCTTTTATCCAAGCTCAAAGCAGAAACACTCAATTGAAACCTCTGAACTATGTTCTATACACATACCCACCTTCAATAAAACCTTGGCTTGTAGCTGTCTGTAAAGATTACATCAGTTACACCAGCAAAAATTTGTATACTTTCCTAAAGAATACTTTTTCTTGTGTACCCAAAATGGACACCAAAAATGTAGTTTTTGGCCTTCTCTCATTCCCCTGTGAAACCTGAGAACTGAAACTCTTTTGTGTAGATTTCTAAAGTCTGAGGTATAGTAAAGCAAGAAATGGAAAAGCAAGATCCTCACCTTTGACATAAATGATATACACATTAGTAAAATGTTTTCTGGGTTTCAGATCATGTAAAGGCAGATTTTATAGATACACTTTTATTTCAGATCACGTAAAGGCAGATTTTATGGATACACTTTTATTTCATTTGGTGTCCTTAGAAGTTTGTATTAGCATTTTTTAATGCACCCATGTTTTACTCCTCCCTTTAATATTTCTAAACATCTGCTACCCCAACAGTTATAACCTAGATTTGCAAGAGTGGTGTACTAAGCATGAGTTGTGGATGATGTTTTTGGTACAGCATAAGCTATTTAACTCCATTATGGCTTAAAACCATTGATAGATAAACTTGAAAGAGGTCTTTCTGCTAGCCTCTCACAATCAGATATCTTGAAAATAGTTTCTCCCCTTCAAGAAGAACTTTTGATATTTCCAAACTTAACAGTGAAAGATCAACCACAGATTTTCATAGCCTTCTCTACTGTTATGTAAGCACCAGAGAGATCTGAATATATTTATACATTTTGAAGGTCATAATAAATTGTCATTGTCATCACTAAATCACTAAGGAGGAAGTGTATGCGTTTACCCCAGGCCTGGGAAATCCTGACAGAAACTTGGAGCTGGCTAACAGCAAGGTGCATAGATTTGATGAACTAGAGTTCACAGCTCCAACACTTACCCATAGCTCTGTCCTCCCATTGTTCTTCCTGCATCTCTCGGCCAGCGAGTAGAGCTCTACTGTAGTTTCTGAAATGAGGTCCACATTTTTGCCTTTCACAATGATCTGCATCACTCTTCCCTTGTTAATATGGGCGTCGAAGGTGCTGTCCCAGGGCGGGTACATGGTTGGTTTCTTCTGGATATACATCTGCCCATTTTCTAGGACCACAAAGGTAGAATTCTCATGACTCATTCAGGCAACGTTAGAGAATCATTCAACTTAATGGTAACACCAACTCCCTCTGCTCTCTGGAATGGGTAATTCTGTTGTGAAGACAAAAATAACAGAGACAACGCAGGTGACAGAACACACCATTCCATGGTCGAGATGCGAGGTCAATCTTCAGAGTTGCATGTAGGTTATTTATTTATTTTTGCAAACATTTCAAAAGTTTAATGAAAATACTGAAAGATGTTTGATTATCCCTTCAAACAAAGCACAACCTGAAACCAAAATAAAGGATACCAAACTGTATTTTAATTACTGACAGTAGGTCTTAGTAAACACTCATTTACAAATTACCTTGGCTTATGTGTTTGTAAATAGAAGTTCTTCAGCCTTCTGGAAATAAGAAAGTATATTCTCAAAATATTAAGTGTATTTTGAGGAGATCCTTCAAAAGTATGACAAACATTATATGCCATATTTTCAGAAATGTTTATACCTATCACTACAGCTATTCCATTACTTTAGTTTCAGTAACTTTTCCAAACAAAATGCATGTAGGTAATTTAAACAATAGGCATCGGATAATGTCTTAGACTGCAAATATTTATGAGTTGATTGCTTCACTTTGGGCATGAATATCTGAGCAAATAAAACTTTAAATAAATCTCTAAGACAGGGCACATACGTGGAATGCCTACACTCTAGAGGCTAAAGCAGGACGACCTCAAGTTCAAGGCCGGCTTGGGCTAGATAGCAAGACCCTTTCCTAAAGTATCAAAACCAAAACACATAAAGGGAACAACAAACTTAAACTGTTCTGCCTTTTGATATCCTCCTTTATTAGACAGTAGGTCTTGGTCATGTGATTAATTTCCCGGGCATCCAATGAAAATAATAGTCAGTATAAAACAACTGCAAGACGCAGTGGCACAATCTGGGTTTATAATGACAACCTCTTTAAAGAGAGTTAAACATTGCCATTTGGCATAAATACACTTAAAAGTTGAACCACTGCCTTCTCAAATTCTTCTTTTATCCTCTCTTTCTTTAGACAGTGCTGCGGTTTCAACCCAGAGCTGGCTAGGTTGGTGCTCTACCACTTGAGGTATCCCTCCAGCACTATTTTCATTTTTTGCTGGCTATTTTGGAGACGGGAAAAAGAAGTCCTGGTTATGGTTAAGAACAAAGCTACAGACAGCATGGTTCCTTTATGAAAAGCTGGAGAAATTTTACTAGGGGAATTAAATAGTTTAGTCACATTTCTACCCACATTAGGATGAACAGGACCATTTTCAAAGGCTCACAAACAGAAAGCGCCTGCCATAGCCTGTTCATTCTCTTGACTCATCTCTCTCTCTCTCTCTCTGTCTCTGTCTCTCTTTCTCTTTCTCTCACTCTCTCTCCCTCTCCCTCCCCCCTCTGTCTCACACACACAATGCAGCTTCACACAACCAAAGTTCAAAACCTTCCTTAAGTCCTGTAAGAACAATACTTGCGTGATAACATTCAGAGTGATTTCTAATGAGAACAAAACCAACAACACAAGAATCAAACCGAGAAATCGCCACAGTCCACAGGCCAATCTTTTAGAAAAACTGTTTCCTTCTTTTCTGACAAGGTCTCTTGATCCACATGGCTGATTAGACCAAGTTCAAAGGCAAGACCAAAAGAAGAAGGAAATTTCAAAAAAAAAGAAAAGAAAAGAAAAGAAAAAGACTCTCTAGAGGCAAATGTCAGTGAGACCTAAAGCTGGAGAGAGCACCGGGTCCAGGAGACACATTGAGTCCAAAGCAGCTTTGAAAAACTTAGACATTTTACACTTCAAAGATGTCTGTGACATTTGCAAGGGTTTAGGTTGGGAGCAAGTGGCATTCTCACTTTTAACTAAACAGGAGAAAACTTGGGGCAGAGGGAAAAAAAATCAAGATGTTACAGTCTCCTTGCCTTTGATGTACTTAGAGTGTGGCTGGAGGGGTGAACTGAGCCGTAAAATGTTTTTGCTTTATTTTTGTTTTTTGTTTTAGCTATTGGTTTGAGGCAGCACAGTGGGATTTAGACTTCTCAGAATTCTGACCTGTTTGCCTCCAATGGAAGTTCCACCACTTGACTCAGTTTCCCCTTGCATCTGTGAGGGCTCCCAGTCCCCTACAGAGGTCTCCTAAGGACCTCTTATTCTACTCTCCGTAGAATAACAGACATTTTTCTGTATCCATCCTTCTCCTCTCCCTTTAAATGCCTTACTTACCATTACTTATCACGTTGTAGTTTGGATGATTGCCTTTTGCTATGAGAGTAGGAGCTGTCAAGGGAGAGAGCTCTTTCTGGACTTGCTTGTTATTTTTTGTGTTGTGTTTTCCTCTCTGCTCTAGTCCCAGGGCCCTCAAAGTAGGCTCTTCAAGAACACTTTTGTGTATGGTAGTTATGAAGACTTACTTCTCTAGTTACTTCAAATCTCTACCCTTGTGGGCTGGGGGTCACACGTCTCCTGAACCAGTCTGAATGCAGGGACTCAGGAAAAGGTTATGAGGATGGGAAGGTTTTGGTATATAAACTTTCCCCCTACCTTTCCCTTGGAAAGTCCTCAGAATCCTAAAAAGCAGAAGGAATGAATGGAAGCCGAAGGGACCACACACATAGTCCATTAGAAACAGAAGACTCTAAGTCTATGGAGGGAATCTTGGCTCACAGACACAGTTGGACCCCTTGGCATGAACTTGCTGCTTGGACGTGTTCACCTAAGACATGGCTATACTTCCATTCAGGTAGGATCTTAGTAAGTGCAAGTTGCTAGAATTTGGATTATAATGGTTCATGATAGATTTAGTCTCCCAAACTTCACCAAGCTTAGCCAAGGAAACAATAAGCAGTCTTTAGAGTTGATCCCAAGATCAAATTAGATTAGGCAGTATTAATCTACTGGTAATCATTTAAAGCAACTAGGCTTATGAGTAGAGGTTATACATCCTCTATCTGCTGCTTCTGCATTAACACTTCACCTAATTTCCTCAACCTTTTGCCTTATCTTTGTTTATGTGAAAAAACCCCAAAACAGCAGTGGGTCTTAAGGTTCTAGTCAGTACGTATCACTTAGTATACGTCCTTAAGACACACTGGACATTGATGTCTTGAGCTGAAAATTCCAGTTGAATCAAATGACCTTGAAGGTCCTGGAAGGACATCATCCAATATACATAGCCAGAGTCACCTCCCCACCTCAGTCCCCATTCTTACCTGATTCAACATACTCTTTTACAAGTACGGCACAGTATGGGTTCACAGCCTCACCCTGACAGGACTGGCAGGTCCCACAGTCAAAGTTGGACAAACCAATCCGAAGAAATGGTGACATGGTTGCTCCCTGGAAAATGACAAAAGATAAGCACTGTTTCAGGCTGTCAGATATTTTTGCTGTTCTGTTCTCCACTTAACCAGTGTTTTATTATGGACAGCCAGAGCCTTCAATGGATCCACTATCCAGCTGAACAAATGCTTCTATTTCCGCTTCTGCAAAGCACATTCTGGACTCCCCCCAAACCACAGACTGACTTGCCAGAGCTCTAGGCTGTCTGGAAGTGTGCATCCAACTTTGCTAGTGAGAACGAAGGAAAGAGCTAATTGCAAGCAGTCTCAGAGAGTTAAGTTTAATGGCTTCAGCGTGAAGCAAACATTTTCCAGCATTTTGTTTTGTTATTCCTGAGGTGCACAAGAAACAGCACATAGTAATCAGAAAATGAGTTGACAAAGAGTGAGTCTATTTTAGTCACGCCAGTTAAATATGACACTGCAAATTCTTACATGGTCTATTTATGTGGGTATTGGAATTGTCTCTAGGCGTTTAGCAGCTGATCCGTATTCCTTTTGGATATTTTTACAAAAGTCTGTTTTTGTCATAGTCTCTCTCTCTCTTATGCACGCACACACATGCACAAACCATGCTCATACCCACACAGACATAAAATGAGCCTTTGAAACACAGACAATTAAAAAATATCTTAAGTCAGGCTGGGAATGTGGCTCAGTGGTAAAGCACTTGTCTTGCATGCCTGAGGCCCTGGGTTTGATTCCTCAGCGCCTTATAAACAAAAAGAAGTGGCGCTGTAGCTCAAGTGGTAGAGCGTTAGCCTTGAGCTGAAGAGCTGAGGGACAGCGCCCAGGCCCAGAGTTCAGGCCCCACGACCAGACCCCCCAAAAAATATCTTAAGCCATTAGCTATTGAAAAATATGGTTTGAATATTGTATGAAAAACAATAATGACTTACTCTCAAAAGATGAACTAAGTTCTTCACAAATGCAAAAACAAAAAACCCAAACCCCACCCCTTTTTTCTTTTGCTTTTTCGGTCTGAGACTGGTGTTCAAACTAGATACCTGATGCTTTGTCTCATAAGCTAGTGCTCTACCAACTGAACCAAAAGTCCTCTTAATAATTAGGCTTGCCTAGAGATCTAGGTGAAAATTATCACAGTGTTGGATACAGATTCCAGAAACCAAGTCTGGTTGATCTGCTGTTATGTCTTTGTTTGCTTTGCCCACTCACCTCAACTAAATACCTTTTCTTTTTTTATGTTTTTTAAAATTTTTACCAGTGTCTCCATGAAATATTACTGATCTGAAACTGAAGTCTTCAGCAACAAAGTTATTTCCTTGCTTCCTCCCTCAACTTGAACCTTTCTAGCCCTATTTCCCCTATTTGTTAAGTCAACAAATACTTAATATTGTTGGTCCTTCCTGCCTCTGTATGGCAAAGTGAGAGACACAGTAACCTAGCTAGAGTATTGGGCCTCTCATAGCTAATCTAACAAAACCCTTGGAGAACCTCAAGTATTCCAGAATGTTCTTTGGATAAATTGTGAGTCTGTGGAGAGACAAATTGACAGATGCTCTTAGTTTCACAGACATTGGTGAAGTCTTGATTTCCGGTAGAGTTTGGAAGGCTTATCAAAAGGAAGTAGTTATCTGAGCACCATTTATTGGGTGTTGTTAGTTTCTGAAATGTTTCTGCATAGACCACAGGGTGGAATTCCAGTCAGATGGCATTGTCACTGGGGGCATCCTTTGTCTCATGACTTAGCATTCTTGGGCAGCAGCTGGGCTACTGACTGGAAGTCCTGACAGGATTTCTGGGAGAACTTTTCCTTCCCTGGGAGTTTCCACCTGGGGGTGAGTTTCAGGTTGTCTTGATTTCTCCAGCCATCAGGAAAAAAATCCCTGAGAAGTCTCTGCTTTCATAGAAATCTTAATCATGGTAGACCTTGAAGGATTTCCTTTGTACAAGTAAGGGGAATTCTAAGTTAAGACCTAATTTGAGTGCTAATTTGAGTCCAGACGGATCACCAAGTCTGAGTTACTACCACTCTGACCTTTGGGAACTTGTCATTGCTATTTTCAGGGTGTGTTTCTCCATTAGGCAGCTGCACAACAGGAATCTGTCTCAGGAATGGATGGAAAGCTATGAGGTTGCTAGGGTTTCTCTTACTTCCTGGGAGAGAGCTGTAGTGAGCTTCTCCTTCATTCTCAGGGCCTTGATTAGATATCAATGACTTCCTTAACCAAAAATGCCTTCATTAGAGTCATTTGCACTATTCTCCTACCCATAAGCCTTTGGACAATTTACCCACAGCATGTATCTTGTTTTGTTGTTTGTTGTTTTGGTTTTATGTGTTGGGCAGTATTGGGATTTGAACTCAGGGACTTGCATTTGCTCAGTAAGCCCTCAGCCATTTTAAGTCAGGTTCACTGAATTTTATGATTTATTTTTCAGAGAAGGTCTCATGATTTTTTTTTTTTAAGCTCTAGGGTAAGCTTCCAACTCTAACCTTCCTACTCCACTTTCCAAGGAGCTGGTATTACAGTTATGCATCACCATTTCAACTGTACTTCTGGGAAGGTTTAGTTACAGATCTCTGGAATTTGTGTAGGTACATATGTTAAGAGCAAAGGTGTGGGGTAAGCCTGGTGGATGAAATTAACATCAAAGACAATCCGTAGTTGTTTTGCTCTAGGAGCTCAGAGCCGATGGCAGGGATAAGGGGAATTTCCCTGACTGTTAAATAGAAAGGAGAGTTCCTTGGGTACAAAACGATCTGGCTAAACAGAATGCTTCAGGGCAGAACTTGTGGAGCTGTCCTCTGTACGATTCAGTTAACCTAGTCGTACTCTCCATCCAACAGTCTCACACGACACAGCAAACAGGTATGTAAGATGACTGATTGGTCCGGCTTTTTTAACAGGGCAAGATCAGGTCCCTTCATGTCCCCAGTCGAGCAATAAATCACATGCTCTGTTCTCCCCTACCATCTCCATGTTTAGCACTTATATTTCCACCAGTTCTCACTTGGAGCACACCACCTTCTTTTTTCAGAGCTGCCCCTTCGTTTTCTTTGCCAGCTACGTGACTGGAGGCATGACCTTCAGCCTCTCTTGGCTCTTCCTCACTTGCTTTGTCTCCTCCCTGCCTGCCTTCGCCTTCAGTTTTGCCTCATCTCCATCTGCATTGCCTCTTGTTTGACGAACTATCGCAGATGTGATTTATTCTGCCTTTGCTTACCCCCTCATTCTCTAACGTCGATGCTATTGTCCATATGGTTTTAGGATCTTGCCATTGATTCTCCAATGGCTTCATAGCTCTCCATTTTTAGTAAATCTGTACCCCACTTTGGAATTGTGGTCCTGCTTCACTCCGTCCTTTGCTTCCCCCTAACCTACCTTCTTTATCTGCAAGTTCCTGCTTAGTCTCCTCTTTGGTTCCTCTCTCCCCTATTGCCATTACCATCTCACCCACTCATCTTGTTGAGATTCACTAGGTCCTTCTGTGGCGTCCTATGTACACTGCTAGACAGCAACTACCCCCTTTATATGCCTTGCCACTACCATTTCTAAAGACTGAATGTGGTACCATCTAGGAGTCCTGTTGTGATCTGATGTCTCCAGGTCTCTGCTATCATAAGTGGTGGGGACTTTGTAGAAACCCACCAGACTGTCTCCTTCTTAATCATCAAGACGCTTCATAAACTCAAGTGAGTTGAGTGAGTGAGGGCAAATGGGTCCCTTAATTCCCTTGTCCTTAAGGTAGAAAAAGGATTTCCTCTGTTACCCCACTCCCTTGGACAGGCAGTTGGCCCATGGGGGATGGGAGAAGCAGCAGTATGGGAGCTCACATTGCCTTACTATAAATAGACCTATGGCTATCTTCCCTAAGAAGACTGGATGTTAAGAGCACGGACCGTGATGTCATCTACTGTGCGTCTCCATAGCTGACACCCTGCCTCCTAGCTGGTAGCTGCTCAATGCATTGGTTTTACTAAGGCAGTTAATTGGTAAAAGTAACCTGTTACGTAATCTCTTACCCTATTTTTCTTTTACCTGCAAGGACACACAACAACCAAGTGAAACAACAGTCAGGGGTTAGAGGAAGTGGCACACAAAGGAAGCATCCCAACACTGGTACAGTCAGAGCAGATCGATGCCCTCATGGGCTCAGCCACTCGAGTTCTGTAACCTCTGTAACCCTGTTTTCTCATTTGGAAAGTGCTGGTATTACTGCTAGTAGTCTCAAAGGACTACGAGGATGAATTGGGCGAACACACATAAGAGGCTTAGAATGGAGCTGGCACATAGTAAACTCTCAATAAATTTTAGTTATTAGTATTACCCCTGATATGTTTTCTAATAGACTTTCTTCACTTTATTGATTTCTGCCAAGCAGGGGCAGGAGAAGAGTAGAAATAGTCTTTCAGGGACACATGTTATCTGAATTATGTGACCTTCATCTGCGCTCTGCTACCCAGCTCTCATCCAGCCTCTATAGATCTTCTGCAGAGTACCCTCTACCCTCAAATACGGCTAGCACTTACCCTGATGAACATCAGCTATGTCCATGGAATCATCCACATTTTTGCGATTCCAACTCTAAAACACCATTGTAATATGTGCTTGAAATGACTCCTTCCAAGCGCCACAATTTCACCTTTAAGTGTGATCTCATTTGTCTTTGGCACATGGTTTTGATGCAGGTTATTGCTCGGTGGGTATACTTTAGGTTCCAGGAACTGAGCAGAATGGAGAATTCTGGTCCCCTGACTCACTGGATATGAGGCCTTGCTTACTGAGGCTGACTCACCCTGCATAAATCACTTCACCTGAATGCTTTTGTGGTGATGCTAGAGTTGTCCACATACCTGAATCTGATGAGGATCACATTCACAGAGCTAGAAAGTAAATAAATGTGCTATATCTGCATAACAGCCCAAAAAGAATGCCAGGTCTTCTCTTCCTGTGCAATAGTGAGTCTCTCTCTCTCTATCTCCTTTCCTCCCTCCCTCCCTCCCTCTCTCCCTCTCTCCCTCCCTCCTCTCCCTCC